GGCATGCCCACTCTGCATGGGAGTCCTTCTCCCCTTTCTGGGTCTCCCTAAACTTTCGGTGGTATTGCTCGGGGGTGACCGCATACCGGGCCAGGACGATTTGTGTAATAATGGGATAGTCTCTGATCTGCTCTTCTAGTACAGCCCGGTAAATATCCACTACCTTCCCCACTAGTTTGCTGGCCAGGATGGTGACCCAGTCGCTGGGGTCCACATCTTGGAGTAGGCACTGGCGCTCAAAGTCTTGTAAAAAGTAATCAATGCCTTCTTCTGCTTCCTTGAACTCTTAACTTCAGCCTTCCAGCTCACCGCACTCCACCTTGCACATGCTGGAGAGACTGTGCAAGCAGCAGGCGATAGTGGAGTTTCAGCTGCAGCATGCACAGGTCAGTCGCTCTGCGGAACCGCACCCTTCACCACCAATGAGTGGACCTCCATGCGAGACCTGTGTGCCATGTTATGCTGTTTCGAGTACTCCACCAACATGGCCAGTGCCGATGACGCCGTTCTCAGCCTTACTATCCCGCTTCTATGTTTCCTTAAAAAAATGCTTTGGGCAATGATGGAAGAGGATGTGGCACAGGAGAAAGAGGGGTCATTTCCACGGTTATCAGGCCAGTCATTCTCAAGTGGCTCGGAGGGTGGGTTCCTGCACCAGCATAGGCCAGGTACACAATTGCCCAGCATTTCCACACTGTCCCATGGAAGCGTTCAGCTGTCCATCTCCCAAACACTGGAGAGAAAGAGGAAGTACCCCCCTAGCCACCCGCGACTCGTGGCCTTTGAAATGCTGTCATTCTGTCTGGTGGAGACGGACAGTTTTAAAAACCTGATGGCGTTATTGGACTGCAAAAAATGCACTGCAGGCCGCAAATGTTACTTTTTTGGGGGCTACCTCAATGAAAAAAATAAAATAAATAAAAATAAATAACTAAAAAACAGTGTTGGCTACCTCCTCCTCCTCCACCACCGCCGCTTCTACCTACACCTCCACGGTCACCACCTCCTCAACCTATGGGTCACTTAGTATAAACTATGCACACAATAGCAGAGACTTGTGAAGGCCTTTTCTCCATGCATCAGGAGTTGAGCATTTCTCCATGCATCAGGACTGCAAGAAATGCACCGCAGGCCACAAATGTTTCTTTTTTTATATGTCCCAATATTTTGGGGGCTTGCACAATTAAAATATATATATAACAGTGTTGGCTACCTCCTCCTACACCGCTGCTTCCACCTATACCATCATGGTCACCGCCTCCTCAACCTATGGGTCACTTAGTATAAACTATGTACACAATAGCAGAGGCTTATGAAGGCCTTTTCTCCATGCATCAGGAGTTGAGCTCAGTTTGAACAATGAATGAGAATACCCTGCACTCCAACCCTCTCTCAAATGGATAATTCTGGTGATCCTTCTGACAGCCATGCTTTAGATTTTGATTTATGTTCTTCCAAAGCTAAAATCAAAGATTCCATCTAGTGCTTTTTTATGGCTCAGCTGTATTTTAAATTTTTAAGTATTTTATGTTATTTTAAGTGATTTCCCTATCCCTATCTATTCTTACCCCATTTTACTTTTTTTTGCAGCCCTCTAGCCCTTTCCAGGACTTTTTTAGAGCCAATCTTGTGCCCAAAAGTTTGGGTCCCCATTGACTTCAATGGGGTTCGGGTTCGGGGTCAAGTTCGAGCCCGAACTCTGACCTTTTTTCGAAGTTTGGCCGAACCTGCCGGACCTGAACATCCAGGTGTCCGCTCAAAAAATTTTGCACAAGAGAAAATTTCTGCGCGTACCAAGTAAAAATGTTTTTCCATTTTTTCAACTAACATAATTTTGCATTATTTCAACCCATATTAGAATCTGCAACAGGAGCTATTTCCTTCTCTCTCTTCTGTGCAGTTGCTGCCAAAGGTCATATGTTCAGAGGGTTTTTGTACACCAAGGATTATATAAGTATGATATATATGACCAGTCAAAGTGTATTATTATTATTATTCTTTTTATTTAAGAGTCCATACAAAGAAATGTTTAGTACAAGAATTAACAAATTGCCAAACAGGCAGGCATCCAATTTTAAAGTTCCTTTCATTCAATGTTGGTGAATTAAATTATGAAATAAAGTGTTGCAATAGTCTCACTAACCTGAAAGCTGCTGAGTTGGTCAGATCATTCTGACATTTTATTGAACACATCAAATGTTTTATTTTGTCATTTTGTGGACTGTGAACCTTGGACCATTTTGTGTTTTTAAAATGATTTTGAAACCACTCACTGTGGTTATCATTAAGCAAATACAAACTAATATCTGTTTATAGAGAGATCAGCATTTGATATATTTCTTGGAGTGACTGTAAATTCTACATAGTTGAGGTTTCCTCTTTAATGGTATATTGCAGGGGTTGGCAACCTTTTAGCAGCAATGTGCCGATATAGGATTGTAATGTCCCGTAGCGTGCCGGTCCTATTTATTTTTTTTTTAAATTGAGGTGTGTATGCTGCAGTATTCTGCTTGTGTTATTTTTACTGTAATTGCTTTGTATCGTTGTATTTGTGCGTATATGAGCTATTATATTGTATATGTTCATGAGTAGTTTATGGTATTGTGTAGGATACATATGAATGTGGGCTGTGTATGGGGGCTGCTTGTGGAATTGTGTGTGTGGATGGATATGTCACATTGTGTGTCTGGTAGTGTGTGGGGGCTGTTTGGGGTATTGCATGTGAGAGGCTGCATGTGGTGTTGTGTGCGTGTATGTGGATTGTCCGTGGTGTTCAGTTTGTGCGGATTGTGTATGTTTGTGTGTGGGCTGTCCGTATTATTTGTATGAGGAGAGGGTTATTCTGCATTTCTGTGTATATCAAGCAGTGTGGATGGCTTCCCTTGGTTCCCGTGGGGACCAGGCCAGCCAGGTTACAGGTCAAGGGCAGGAGCTGCAACAACAACTGTGAGCTGCTCTAATACTGTGTGGATTCTTATTCACAAGTGCTGGAATGAAGTGCTCTGAGATCACTTTCTCTATGTGCTGCAATGCATAAATTGCGGATTGTCCTTCACCACCTCTTCGTATTAGCAGATATCTGAAGTTTTACTGGGACTCCTGATAGGCCAGAGCCTGTTTGGCTCTAGCAGCCTTGAGTGCCGTGCAAAGGCACCTCGAGTGCCGTGCATGGCACTAGTGCCGTAGGTTGCCTACCCCTGGTATATTGTATCCGATCGCATGGGATAGGACATTTTGAGTTCCTACAAGGGTCAATGTTTTTCATCTAATTATTTTGTATTTCTGTGCAATGTCAGCCATCAGTGACTAAGGCCAGTAAGATATTATCATGTATGAAAAGCGGCATTAATTCTCAGGATGAGAATATTATTTTGCCTTTCTATAAATCACTGGTAAGACCACGTATTGAATATGCTGTGCAATTTTGTGTACCTGTTCTAAAGTTAGATATTATGGCACTGGAAAAAGTGCAGAGACGGGCTACAATATTAATAAAAGGAATGGAACATTTTAGTTTTGAAGAAATATTACCACATTTAAACCTTCTTTAGTTTAGAAAAATGGTGCCTCAGATGCATTATACAATTATATCTGGGGCCAGTACAAACTAGTGTCAGGAAATCTATTCACAGTGTGGCAAATGTACCTATGCCACAAACTCCTGGAGGAGCGTGATATCTAGCCTTCTGGCCAAGGACCATGGACCTTGCCACAGAGACCTTTCTCCCATCTGAAAAGACTTGTTTCTCCACCCAGTCCCATTACCTAACTGTTCCTTAATCTCCAACCCTCCATCTTCTTTTGAAGGAGCTATATTCACTAGACTACCCCATCCCAGCTGTGACTCATCTTCAATGCCCTCCCTAGTGGCCCCAGGACTACTACAGAATAGCAAGGAGGCTCCAGAGGCATGGAGCAACTGACTGGGAGTAAACTCCAAATGCCCTGGAACTCTGGAGTGAATCGTGGGTCCACAGCGATCCGCTGAAACTTTGTACTGAGCGCTTTAGTCCCAGCGCTTTTAGTCCTAGCAGCGTGACTTTTGGAGGGGAGATAGAGGAGGTGATGAGGCATGGACTTGGGGGAGCTGGACAAACTCAAGGAGCGCGCCGCTGTTTTGGGTAACCATGACTTTCACCCCATGGAACCCTGAGCCGGACCGAAAAGCAGCCCCAACCCGCTAAAACTCTGACTTCCATCCATGTTGGGCCAGCCACCTCTGATCTGGGCGCTATTTGGAAAGATTGTGTTTTAGAAGTGTTTTATGCATTGCACTCTCTTTGCCCGGAGATAATTAGTTTAACCTATAGCTGACTCCATTATCTCTGCACCAGTTAGAGCTAGGCAGAGAGAACATGGCGGTCTGTCACAAACAGGACTGTACCTAGGACATGAGATCACGTGTTTAGACTGGAAGAAAGGAGATTTAGTCTAAGGCAAAAGAAAGGGATATTTACAGTAAGAACAATAAGGATGTGGAGTTCTCTGCCTGAAGACATGGTTTTGTTAGAATCTGTACAGATGCTTAAACAGCGACTTGATGCATACTTCCTACTAGACATGTGCAATTCGTTTCAGTTATGAATGTAAATGCAGATGAATTTTGGCAATTTGGACATTCGGATGCTTCTGAATATCTGAATTGCCGAATTGCTAAATTTCTGAAGTGATCAATTTCGGAAGTGTCGAACCGAACCGAATTGGCGAAGTGCTCAGGATTTCTGAAAAGTGGCAAAACAAGAGAGGCAGGGAAAATTAAGGGAATGATGACCGGAATTTAACCCTACCCTTACTCCTAACCTAACACTAACTATAGATGTGTACGTGCTTGTGGTGGTTAGGGATTAGGGGTAAGGGTTAGGGGTAGGGAATTGCTGAAGTCTCGAATTGCCAAAGTCCTAAATTTCGTGTGAACCAAATTTTTTGCCCATGCACATCCCTACTTGCTGCATACTTGCAAAAACATAATATTCATGGATATCAATTTGAAATTGTGGGGTAGTAGCTTCTTAATATCTGACTTCCATTTTCATAGTTTGTTGCAAAATTGGAAGTGATTCTGTTTGGGGTTTTTGCCTTCTTTTGGATCAATATGTAACTATGTATTTGTGATTGGTTTATTTTCACTGCATGGATTTTGCGTTAGGGAACATTGCATCCAGGGTCTATCCTGAGAGTAGGGCCTGTTTTTTCATAATTATTTTGTTAAGCATCTTATAAGTGATTACAGATTTTCCAAACAAGCAATTATGCCGCTGGATATACTATTTATACAACAGTGTGCATAGTTCTGCATGTTTCTCTTTTATCACCCCCTTGTTCACCAACCTCATGGGGAAAATAATTCAAATTAAATTCCACTGCGGCTCCCGCCTTTCTCAAATGCCTTTCATTAAAGTGATTTCTCTCTTTACGGTTAACTACCTGCTACTTCTGCAAACCCATTTGGTATAAGTTGATAGCGTACTTTTTTTTCGTGCTGAAGGACGGTCACTCATGCAACACACTGTATGTGTGAGAAGGTTTTGTCCTTCTAAGTGTGGAAAGGGGGAGTGGGTTGCTAATTTCCCACTGGAGTTTTCCTTTCACTAGGAAGTTTCACTCTGCTTTTTGCTTTATTAACCCAACCCTTGGGCTGTGAGTGATCTGTGCAACCCCATTAATTAATTCTAAGTCCTCACCTAAAGCACATGGTGGGGGCACGGCAGGACCTATGCCAGGCCTTCCCTGTAATTTAATAGCATCTATATCTGCCCAATAATGGTATTATTACAAAGCAGACACTGAATACTAACTGTTTACCAGATATTCCCCCACTCACAGCATGGTAGGTGGGGACATAAGGAAGGCTTATAACATCCCTTATACTAATATCAAAATCATAATGACCCCACCAGCCTTTTTACCCTTTTTTTAATATGGTTGCATGCTTGCAATCACTTTTCAGCGCTACGTAATTAATTGTCAAACTGCCAAGAGTTTTTTAACTATTTGCCCACAAGCACTTGCTTTTGCTGAAAAAAGTTATGCTAGTTTACACAATACACAATCATTCATATTCCAAATTTATGCTAATTATTTTTTTAAATACATCATTAATGTCACATTCTGATCCCAAGACATAGTTGAGAGATAGTAGTCGTGTTCCTCAATACAACATCTGCACTAGCGCCATGCCTCTAACATTATCAACACATTTCTTTTCTGCCACGAGGACTGTTGACACCTCGCCACTGCTACCTCTATCACTATCACTTTTCCCTCAGTAATATACAGAGTTTGTCTGCAGTTTACAGCAGAAGTGAACCTTGCCTCCACTGAGAGTGGCAGTCATAGTGTTGGCGGCATGGTACAGCATCACTTAAGATTAGGAATCACTTTGCAAAGCCTTTTTTTTATTTTTTTTTAACTGTATGCTTTGCAGGTGTCGAAGCACTGTGCACTACAGAGCACTGTGTGCAGTGTAGTCATACACAATAACATTATTTAGTCATAGTGAATCCATCCAGAAGCAATACATTTATCAATGCAAACATAAGGCACAGTCAAACCACTACAATGAGAGGCAATTTAAAAAGGGGGAAGCAACTGCAGCAGTACCTCCTCTACCACTATCATCATTGAACAGAGTAGGGAGGATGATGAGGATAACTCCAGTTGTTGACAGAGGCAGGTTGGACATGGAAATGTCCATCAGCCCACTCTTAAACAATGTGTTGGATTTCATTCAGGGCCATTGAAAGCAGCAGGCTAAAAAAAAACAAAACAAACAAAACACTGGACTGCCCAGATTTATAGATTGGTCCTTCTGGTCAGCATGCCTTTCTTTTCTTGACGGCATACTGGTGGCAGTCCTGATTAGCTTGGTATGGTTGTGGTAATGGAGGAGGTCCAACCTTATTGAGAACCACACTTGAACATTGCAGGAGTCTTGCCGGCCATTTCCACCCTAATGTAAAGGTTAGCCCTGAGGCAGGAGCAAGAGACAGAAAGGGTTTCATACATAATGTCTACAACAGGCTCTCAGCACACGCTGGAACTCCACTTTAGATGCACTGGAAAGAATTTTGGAACAGAAGCATTGACTCCCCGGTGGGGCATGAGGATTGGACACTAATAGGGCAGCTATGGCTGCAGTTACTGCCCCCCTCCCTTTCAAGTGCCTTGTTTTAGTATTTTCAAAAGCCTTTCATTGTAATGGTTTCACCCTGCCTGGCCGAGTCTTGCTTTGGGGCTAATTGCTACCTTCACAAATGCAAAGCAACTTCAACTTTAAATATTTTTCAAAATGTCTAAAAAATATTCTAAATGTGGTTCTGGTGGTGAGTTGATGTAATGTTTTCAAATGCCTTTCATTGTAGTGGTTTTCCCCTGCCAGGCTGTATCACAATGCATGTTACCTCTGCAGGCACAGTTGGGAAAAGCTGAAAGGGCACATTGATTTTTCCACTTTGAATGATGTTCAGTGACCCTACAGACAAGACGTGTGGGAAAACTTTGTTCTTCTCAGGTTGGAAGGGATCATTGCTCAATGACGATTTCCTCCTTTCATTTTTGTATAAATCCCATTTTACAACTTAAAATTACTCTTGCTCCCCATTTTCCATTGATACAAGACAGTAAAAGGAAAAAATAGCGCTAATTAAATTGTGTGCTTTCAGACTAGCTTTATTCAATGGCTAACGTATCCTACTGACCCTAGTGACAAGCTGAAAGTCTATGTATCCCTAATCTTAAAGTTCTTAGATATTGCTGCAGGTAACAAAGTTTGGCATTTTTATTCCAACACATATTGGTTTCTGCAAAAATAACTCTTTCCTGCTCCCTCTTCTGTGCAATTGCTGCTGAAGGTCATATGTTCAGAGTGTTTTTGTACACTAAGTATGATTTAGTATGATTTATTTTGTCATTTTTGCCACGGTCACTTATTGCAGAGTTGTGTAACAAATCTGCCAGATTAGTCAGACTGTTCTGACATTTTATTTAAACAAATGTTTTTGTCTTCTTGTGGACTGTGAACCTAGGACCATTTTTTTGTTTTTAAAAAGAATTGTAAAGCCACACACAGTGGTTATTACTAAAGTAATATTCGGAGAGACCAGCATTTGATATATATTTCAAAGTGACTGTAAGTCCTACGTAGTTGGGGCTTCTTCTGTAATGGTATATAGTATCTGTTCCCCTTTGAGTGCCTATAAGGGGCAGAGTTTTTTATTTTAGTTTTTTTGTATTTTTGCTTGATTTGTTTTCATTATATGGCTTTTGTACAAAGGACCATTGCAATCCAAGGTTCCCCCCTGAAAGTATGTAGGGTGTCTTTGTTCTGTTTTTTTTTTATTATTATAATTTTGTTAAGCATCTTATAAGTGATTACCAAATTTCTCGGTAAGTAATTATACCACTAGATATACTCTTCATAATAGAGTTCTGCATTTTTTTTTTAATCATCCCCTTGTTTGCCCACCGCATGGAAAACACTTTCAAATTGTATTGCTCCTGACGCTACTGCTCCCCCTTTTCTCAAATACCATTTATTAAAGTGATTTATCTCTGTCCGTTTAACTATACCTGCTACTTCTGCAAATGCAACTTGTATAAGCTGATAGGGCACTGATTTTTTTTTCATGCTGAAGGACATTCACTCATGCAACAGACTGTATGTGGGGCAAAGTGTTGTTCTTCTAAGGGTGTAAGGAGTGAATGTGTTGTTAATTGCTCATTGGCGTTTTCCTTTCCCTAGGATATTTCTCCCTATTCTTTTCTATATCAGCACACACCTATTGCCTTCTGTTCTAAGCCCTCACGTAATGCACATGGTACCAGCTTCCCCCTATATTTTAATAATATCCCTAGCTGCGAATAATTTATTATTAAAATGAGCAGACACTGGGCGTTCACAGTTTTTTATTATTATTATTGTTATTATTTATATAGTGCCAACGGTGGACAAACAAACATGTAGTTGTAACCAGACAAGTTGGAAACACAGGAACAGAGTTCGGTTCGGCATTTCGACACTTCAGAACTTTGGCACTTCGGGACTTAGGGTAAGTGTAGGGTTGGGTTAGGGTAAGGTTAGAGTTGGTTTAGGGTTAGGGTAAGGTTAAGGGTAGGGGTAGGTTAAGGTTAGGGTAGGGGTAGGAGGAGGGTTAAGGTTAGGTTAGTGGTAGGGTTAGGGTATGGTTAGGGTTGGTTTAGGAGTAGGGTTAGGGTAGGGTTAGGTGTAGGGATAGGGTTAGGGTTAGGGTTACCAGCAGCGTACATACCGCGGTCGCAACTGCGACCGGGCACGTCACTCCAGGGGGCCCGGCCGACCTACGGACCCCTGCGACCGGGTGCCTGCCACCATGTGTTGCGGCCCTGGCCGCGCAGTACAATAACCGGGGCCCCAGGTGAAGGGGCCCATCGGGTGGCCCATGCTGTTAGAGCCACCCGATGGGGGGGGGAAGTGGGGGGCCCCATGGATCAGTTTTTCGAATGTCCGAATTTACGAAACTAATTGTACATGTCTAATAACACCTTATATGTTGCTCAGCTATGTCTTCTTAGTACAACAATACCCCTATGTGTACCTTTTTTCAGGGATATGTGGATGTTGAAGGGGCACATTGGAGACCAAGCCATATCAAACTTTAAATTTTGATGCTGGGTCCATGTGCAATTTTAGAGCATCTTAGCAGGCTGATAATTCAAACTACCCCACAAAGGCCTACCATTTCTTAAAGAAGACACCACAGGCTATTTCAAATGGCATATTTTAAACCCAAGAGTATAATCATGTTTTTGCTAGTTTGTACCAAGTCTAATAGCAATTAGCATTTGTTCTGCCTTTTTGACACACGCTTGGAGATGTTACTGTATATTTTGCAAACCTTATGTGTGCTACGGCAGTATAACACCTAATATGTTGCTCAGCTATGTCGTCTTAGTACAACAATACCCCCATGTGTACCTTTTTCAGGGATATGTGGTTGTTGAAGGGGCACATTGGAGACAAAGCCATATCAGTTTTTTTCAAACTTAGAATTTTGACGCTGTCACAGTGTCTGTGGCATCAGAGTCGGCTGCTAAAATATCATAGGCCTCCTCAGCAGTGTACCTTCTAGACATTGTGAAGCTGTAACGTGAACTTAGTTTTTCTAACTTTTTTCTGTTTTTTTACTTTTTTAAACTTTTTTTCTTTTTTTATTCCTTTATACTTTTTTAAAACTTTTTAAAACTTTTCCAAACTTTTAGTCTCTAACTAGCCTAACATTCAATTTCTCACTAATGTCCTCCCACTCCAGCTAACTGAAGAATCAATGTCAAATTAATAAAATAACAAATTAAATTAAATTAACCCCTAAGGGTTAAAAAAAATCTGTAAATTAACCTTTGAGGGTAAAAAAAAATTAGATTACAGTTAAATAAGCGCAAGGGAAGGGTTAAAACTATTTTACAAGTAATAAAATTACTTTTATAATACAGCTACAGTTTAAACTAAAATGGCACACAATGTTGCAGCACCGATCCATCTCTCTCCACTTCTCTACACACAGAGAGGTGGAGGGAGGAGGATCAGAAATCCCAGCAGCACTGTGATCGCTGTAACTGGCTGTCACAGCGATCACATGTGTTGGGACAGTGCTATTGACGGTTGCTGGTCTGCCTGTGACATTGAGGCATCCAGCAACAGAGTTAACCCCATGATCGAGGTGATCGCTGCAATCTGGCGTTAACATTAGT